ATCCCAGTGAGAAGTTAGGTGTAGTTTATCGCAAATCGTGCCTTAACGGTCTACTAAACGACACAGGATGGACTGGACGCATGCTTGGATCACATATAGACGAGCATAAGATGGCGTGCCGAACTATCACAAGTGGTGAGTCAGACCTACGAAAAGGGCCACGAGTTTAACTTTGCAGCCACGAAGATAATCATCCACATCGGAAGCAAGACAATCTGGGACTTGAAGCCTGGACCTCCGATGCGAACTCAGCCAATCGATTTATAAATCTGGAACCGGCATACAGAGCACGGACTAGTCACCTCTGGACTGGCGCCACTGGTTTTTGATTGGCCCCTGCCCCTTATAACTGTTGATTGTTTTATTGTTGTCGATTGTATCTGTGGCAATGGACTCTAGCAACAGTTCGAAAGCTCAGACAAGGAAAGCCATAATTCCAGTAAGGGACGAACCTTTTACTTTTTTCGTTATACACATACCTGGAATACGAACATTCGTCTCAATTCATAACCTTTCTAAGTTACTTTTTCTTTGCTGGTAATACCTCCCTCTCCTCGATTTGTCGTCTTTTGGGTGTGGGGAGGAGGTGGTAGTCAGCCTGCAATCACCTTCCCTAATTTTGTCCGTGGCAACTTTTGTCAAGAAGGAATCCTGGACTGCGTCTGAAAACTGGTTTATGTTGAATTAGGGACCAGTAGGTGCCTGGCACATACGGGAAGTCAGTCCCCTCAGCCACCGCACACACGTTCATCTCTGGTCGTTTCAGCTGTCTTGCCATTGAACTTCACTGTTCATGGTGGTAGGGATGCTGTAAACCAGGAAAGGTAGCTTTTCGAATTTACTTGTGGCCGAAAAAGTACCCTGCGTTAGCCAAAATTGAACAACTACTTTGAGACTAGTCTTAAGGTCTTTAAGACTGCCTTTTCTTGGATAAGGAAGAACGATTGTCGAGCAACAGGGCAACTTGTTTATTGTCTTGAGCTTTCGAACTCTTAAAAGATTATTAAGTAACTCTTAACTCTTACAAGATTCTATCCTCAGAGATAAGAAACAGCAACAAATCAAAGGTTAATTATAGTGGCTGTACGCCAATCAACTGCCAGAGGTCGTCAGAGGTAAGAAACAGCAACCAAAAAGGATGGGAGGGGTGAAAAGCAATTATAGGGCTATACGTTAATTAACTGCCATTTTAGTTGACCTAATTGTGAAAAAAACCGCTGCCTAGGTGGGAGACCGACCCACACAGTAGGGATGGCCTTTGCGCAGCCGGTGATGTCAATGTTCAACAGGGCGTCTGCAATGAAAATGGGGACGATTATAGAGGATGTGCGCTAATTAATTGTCAGGGACGAAATTCTGGACATGACTGTGCAAGATTCTGTACACCAGCCCCAATTCAATACATCGGTTTATTGAGTTCCTCTCCGTGGACCAGGCTTAAACCAATTCTCTTCTGATCACTGGCTGTGATCTAGGGAGAATACGCCGGTTCATCATTCCTCTTTATTAACATTCGAAGTCGACTACAGCCAACCAATAATAACGTTAAATTTTTCCGATACCTCCCTTCCACGGCAGTGTTTTTCAAAAGCCTTTTCCTTATTTCTCACACCACTTCAGTGTCAGTTTATTGAGGGTAAGATAGGCGAGCGCCTTTGAACTCCATAGAAAATATATGGATACAAAAATGTTAAAAGTAAGTCAATTACATGTTCTTGGGGAAGACAACATTTGTCAGGTAGTCCAAATAGTAATTAAAATATAACTACTCGTTAATCACGAACAGTATAGTGTAACGTAATGTCGTTTTTACACGACTGCGTGTCTGGATATGTATGGATACAAAGAAAAATTTAAAAAGTACGTCAATTACTTGCACGATATTTATTATAGTTGGCTGTCTTCGCCATTATTCTTCGTCCCTGACCGCATGTTCACACCACTGAGGGTAAGCAGGTGTTGGGGCGGTGTGGCTGATGAGCCTATCTGCCTAATACATGTCGCCAGTCTGGCGTGCAAATATCGCTTGCAACACAAGCGCCTGTATTGACCTTCAGTTGCTCTTGCTTCTTCCTGACTAATAGCATGGCGGTTTTCTCAGTTAATTGATCTTGTTTTATTTGTATGCACAGAACCTTGCGGCTACAAGAACCTATCACAATCTTGAAATCCCCGTCATCGAGGCCTTACAATACCGCCGAGAGGTAAGTGCAATTTGCTGAGTTCTACGAACTACGGAAGTGACTGGCACCCCCCGCGCAGAGTCAGTTGCAACCCCATCAGATTGTGCCTATCAATTGATAATAGGTGCCCTTCAACTGATCGGTCTGCTTTGGCAATTTTTGCTTTGCCACTTTGTTGTCGCGCCT